AAAAAAAAAAAAAACTCGAAATGAACAAAATAGAATATTTAAGAAAACATTTTCTGCCAAAAATTCGAAAAAAAAAAATAATAAAAACCTTCTGGTAGACAAATCCATAGAAAATTTTGGAATGTATCCTTGTTGGAAAATATCTGAAAGGAAGTTGCAACTGATGGATGTTATTGATCAAAAAAATCTCATCAAATCTACTAGAACTAGAACTAGAATAAAAGAATTCAGGAAAAAAGTCTAGCTTTTTGGGTCTGGGAGCCTATTTCTCTTTCTGCTAGTGGTTCAAGTTAATTTTTAACGATACTTTTTGCCTCAAGTATAAGCATTTGAGGGTGATTGGTAGGCGATCGAAATTGGTTTTGATCAAATCAGAATTTGACTCACCCATTTTAACTCAATATCTAACTCAACCTCACTCCTCAATATTATTACTACAATTAAATTATATCAATCATCTCTCTTTTACATCACATCAACTTTAATTTACTATTTCGTCAATTCACATTTTTTAACTATAATTTCCATCATCTCTCTCCTATTTCTATATCATGTCAACTTTAATCACTACATTTAAATAATTATTTAATTACAATCTCTCTCATCCCACTCAATCAACTTTATTCCATGTAACTAATTTTAATCCACTTTAACTCAAGATTCATTTTTATCGATTTTTACTGGTTTCGACTCCCTACCAATCATCCCCTTGAATTCTATTTTGTTCTAATTTAGATTCGTTCGTTTACCCTTTTATTATGGTTCTTTTCAAATTACTGTACACATGTTCCATCCTTCGTGTTTTTGCTTCTTCCTCAACTTCTTTTTTATTTATGATGCGGCTGTATGCTTTTTTTTTTTTAAGTTAATGCAAGATATCTCACTTCTGAGTTATTTTTCTTCACCAGGGACCATTCACTCCCAAAAGATACTATTCAATTGATCGTGTCTTCAGAAATGAAGCTGTGGACAGAACTCATCTAGCAGAATTCCACCAGATAGAAGGTATTTGACAATTTTACCCTTCACGGCAATTCATTTTCTCTTTTTTGCTGCAAGCTGTGGAAAAGGCGTAGAAGTTTTTTTACTGATAAATTTTTTTGTTATTATTTTCTATGCCTTGACGATACTAACCTTCTCTTCTATATGATTGTTAGGGTTAATTTGTGATCGTAATCTTACTCTTGGACACTTGATAGGAGTCCTTATCGACTTCTTCTCTCGTCTAGGTAAATTTATACGATCTTCCATGTGGTGTTTTCTAAAGAGTTTAAGCGTGTTAGCTGATTTTTTTTAGTCTGTAGGGAAGTTTTGGCTGGTTTTTTCACTATTTTTTTTTCATGGATTTACATTATATATTACTCGTTCAATTGCTGAATAGGATGTAATTTCATTTTCAGGGATGTCCAAGATTAAGTTCAAGCCGGCCTACAATCCTTACACCGAGCCCAGCATGGAAATCTTCAGGTAATTAATTATTTATGGCGTCTCACTGGAAAGCTTTACCATTTTATTTTACCAGATTAATAATAGATTGATTGATTTTATTATTTTTATTTTTATTTTTTATTTTCCATCAGTTATCATGAAGGTTTGCAGAAATGGGTCGAAGTTGGAAACTCGGGTATGTTTAGACCAGAAATGCTGCTTCCGATGGGGCTTCCGGAAGATGTTCAGGTCATAGCATGGGGGCTTTCACTTGAAAGGTAACCGAACCTTTTTTAATTTATTTTTGCTATTATTGTGTGCTTTTTGTGATTATTGGTTATGTTATATAGTATATAATTCATATATATTATCATGGATGAATCAGAAAAAAACTATTCTTGAAGTTTAGTTCCTTGTTTTTCTTTTCACTATTATTGTGTGCTATAACTTATATATATTATCATGGATAAATCAGAAAAAAACATTCTTAAGGTTTAGTCTCCTTTTTTGTTATTGTTTTTACTATTATTGTGTGCTTTTGTGATTATTGGTTAATGATATTGTATAATTCATATATATCATCATGGATAATTCAGGCAAAAACTATTCTTGAAGTTTAGTCTAATTTTTTGCAAAGTCCCCTTGAGGTCCCTTAGGGGGGTGCAATTCATATTTAGAAGCAAACTGTAATGGATTAGTTGCAACTTTTTCAAAATTCATTTTTAATCTAATCGGCTCACTCTTTTTTTTTTTCTTTTTTCTTTTTTTTTTCCCGTTTTTCGCTACTAGGCCGACTATGATTCTTTACGGTATTGACAACATCAGAGATCTTTTTGGTCACAAGGTAAAAATTTCAAACTCCTGTTTGTCACGCACCATTGAGAATTTTTTCTCTTCTTTTTTATTCATTTTGCTCGGTTTTGTGTGACGATGTTTTTGCAGGTTGATCTCGATCTCATCAAAAGAATCCGATTTGCCACCTTGGTCTGTAGTCGTGATGCTTGACGCTTTTTTTGTTTTTTAAGTAGCTCATGACATTTTTCGTTTATTTTAAATTGTTTTGTAACATGCAAAAATAGTGAAATACCCATTTAAGTTCTTCAGATGGCTGGGAATTGGTTGCCAGATTTTGGTTACATTTTTTTGGATATAAGATAGGAGAATGAACTAAAAAAGTAAAAACTGTAAAACTTTGATGATAAAAAAAAATACACTTTGATTAGATTTCCATGCAAGTCAGGTTTTGTGCTGGTTGCTAACAAAGGCTTATATTATGATTTATGAGTTAATAATCCAATAGGACATGAGCATCTTTATTTTTACATATAAATTAATAAATATATTATAAATTCAAGCCTTTTTAATCTATAATCGTCCTTTTGGAGTTTAACCGAATATAAATGAGTTTGATAGATATTACTTATGAATTAGTTACTCAGAAACTCTATTTACGGAGCCATCAGATGACTCTTTTATGTAACTATCCATAATTTTATGTATTGACACATGTCTGATGTGTAGTTACTGCAGAACACGTGTCAATACATCATTCGTGGATAACTATGGATGATTTTATAAGTCGAGCCATTCGATGCTTCAATGGTAAAACCGATTAGTTACTGTGGAGTCTAGTGTATTACAAAATGGAATATACGTTGTACTGTCATTTTTTAATATTTACGTATCAAGTAATAAATTTGTTGACATTATAAATTTTAGTTTGGTCCATGCCTTTCTCGACTTTGGAATATATTTTTGTTTTTTTTTTTTTTAAAAGTTTTTCAATACAAGGCCTAAAAGATAGGTAAAATAATATATCGGGGTCTAATTTTTTTTTTTTCTCAATTCAAGAACTAAATGTTATAAAACTATCAAATTAAATCCTAGAATTAAAAAAACTCATAACACCATTAAAATAGTTAGTTTGAAGTTCTAAAACACCAATCTGTTACAAAGTAAAAAAGAAAAAAGAAAAAAATAAAAAAAATTAAGGAAAATATGAAATTGTTAGAGAAAATTAAGGAAAATATGAAGCTCTTGTTAGGTTTTATTGATGTCGTCTATTTCTGTTTTTTTTTTGAATATTATACAAATGTTTACTTATTTATTTTGTGTGAGTAACCACCAATCTTGTCTTTTTTTTTTAAACTCTCAATTTAATGGTGTTATGAGTTTTATTAATTCTAGAACTTAATTTGATAGTTTTATAACAATTAAGTCCCGAATGGAGAAAAAAATTCTTTCAGGCCCCGATTTGATAGTTTACCCATCTTTCGTGTCTTGTATTGATTTTTTTTTTAAATAACAAATTGCAAGACAATCACACATTTACTTCATTTGAGATTATAGTTTTTCAATTTTGGCAACAGCCATGCCTTTATTTTTTTTTGCAAAAGGTCCGATATAATTTTTTGATATAACTTGCAACATAAAAAAAAAAAAAAAAAAAAAAAAAAAAAAAAAAAAAAAAAAAAAAAAATTAACTCATATACACCAAATGACAAACATGTTTTGATTTTTAATATATATAACTTGCAATGTAAACAAAATTTAAAAAAAAAATAAAAAAAAATCAAGTCATATACACCAAATAACAAACATAGATCTGATAGTCAAACGATACTAGGCTTTGTAAAACGGGCCGGGCTCAAGACCGCACAGCCACACGATACCATATTAACTATTTCACTTTCAGTTTTGCCCATTTTCAATCGGGTCTTTCAGTGTCGCCCCGACCGGTTCACAGGTACCTTCTTCTCCTTCCAACGCCGCTCACGCACACGTTGTCTCACACGGTAGTCTTTTACATTCGAGGATTTTTTTTGCCATGGCTTAATTTCTAGCTCTATGATGCCTTTTTGTGTCCTTGCCTGAAGACTCTTGATGCCTTTTTGTGTCCTTGACTGTAAACTGTTTGATGATATGCCTGAAAGAATTTCTTCAAACATCAGTTCAGTTTGTAGCTTTATCTTTATGTGGGCTCTTTCTAATATGCCGTATTAGAGCATTTTGCTCCCTTTTTTCGGTAAATTTAGCACCTTTAATTTGTTAGTCATTTACATTTTCCCCATAATTGAGCTTTGCATTTTTCTTGATTTTTTGTTGGTGAGGTGGTGCTCTTTATCAATTGTTCTTGTGTTTTTCCTAAAATTATATGCAGCCTAGCTCGTACGAATTTCTTATGGTTTTGGGGTTGTGTACTAACTACACTGTGACTTCCCTAATAGTAGGTAATTTTATAGTTTGAGCTAAACGAAATTGAAGTATTCAATGTACGAATGGCATAAATTTTATCTATAAGATCTGTTGATCAAATCGATTTCATAAATTCCCTTTCTGTTATATTATCATTTTTGTTTAATATTCTGTTAGTCGGGTCACAGGTGGCTGATTAATATAGTTCGATAATTTTCATTTTTTCCTCGTCTCTTATCAATGAATTATCAAAGGAAAGAAAAGTGGCCAAAGAATATGGTTGTCTACAATTTGCTCAGTGTTCGTTCATGCGGTTGAAAATGGTTTATGCTATTGAATGCATTTAGCTTTATTATTGTTTGGGCTCTGTGCTAGATTACTTTTTCAAAGACACAAACTTTTTATTGTGCTCTAGATCTGTCACTGACTTCATTACATCATCTCTGGGCCTGATCATTGGTCTTTTTAATTTAGTTTTGGCTAAATCTTATTTAGATAACATACTTGCTATACCTTTCTTCAATTTCCCTTCTTTCGACCCTCTGTTATTGACGTATTCTACTGATTCAGTTTCTCCATTGTTTGCATAACAGTAAGCGAGAAAGATGAATGCGGTGGCATCATTATACAGAAGATTAAGCATCAGGGATCTAGTTGCAAATACTCCAGTTTATGCCTCTGTCACTGGTAAAAAAAATTAGTCTTGCTTAAATATGATATCTGTGTTTGCTAAGACTATGTCTTAATCAACTCAGTTTATATTGAAAAAAAAAACTGCAGATGCATCTGGAGATGGGCTGAGCTTAGTTTTTAAACGCTGGGCCACCAAGAAAACAGCTGGATCCACGAAAAATGGGCGTGACTCGAAGCCCAAGAATCTTGGTGTTAAGAAATTCGGTGGAGAGGTTAGTTTTTATATTA